TTTGAGACAGAGTCTAACTCTATTGCCCAGGCTGGAGTGCAGTGGTATGATTCTGACTCACTTCAACCTCTGCCTGTGGGGTTCAAGTGATTCTTGTGCCTCAGCCTCCAGAGTAGCTTGGATTACAGCTAATTTTTGTGTTTTTAGTAGAGACAGGTTTCACTGTGTTGACCAGGCTGGTCTTGAACTCCTGACCTCAGGTGATCCGCCTGCCTTGGCCTCCCAAAGTGTTGGGATTACAGGTGTGAGTCACCACACCTGGCCATGCCCAGCTAATTTTTAAATTTCTTGTAGAAATAGTATCCCATTATGTTGCCCAAGCTGGTCTTGAGCTCCTGGACTCAACCAGTCCTCCTGTCCCAGTCTCCCAAAGTGCTGGGAATTACAGGCGTGAGCCACATGCCCAGCCAAATTGTATGGAGTTTCACCATGTTGGCCAGGATGGTCTCAATCTCCTGACCTCGTGATCTTCCTACCTCAGCCTCTGGGATTACAGGGGTGAGCCACTGCACCCGGCCAAAAATGTTTTTAACTCACAAAACATTGCAGAAATAGTACAGAGGACTCTTATATACCCTTTATACAGATTTACCAGTATTTAACATTTTGCTTGTATTTGCTTTATTTTCTTTGTGTACCTTGATATTTATTTTTTTGTGAATCATTTGAAAGGTAGGTTTAAATATATCATGCTTCTTTACCCTTTAATATATGTGTATTTCCTAAGAAGAAGAATATTCTCTTTTTTTTTTGAGACGAATATTCTCATATAACCATGGTGGAGCTATCAAGTCTAAGAAATTTAACCTGGCTACAGTAATTTAATTCACATGGCCATTTCATCAATTTTCCCAATAATGTCCTTGGTAGCATTTCCCCTGCAGTACAGGACCTGGTCCAGGGTCACATACTACATGTAGTTCTCAAATCATCAGTTTTTAACTGATATAGTTGTATCTTCTGGATGTATTTCATTTATTTTCTACTAATTGTCATTTAGGTTGTTTGTAGTATTTTTAAAGCTTTTGTCACTTAACATCCTAAGTGTTTTTTTTATTTTTTATTTATTTTTATTTTTTTTTTAGAGCCAGGAGCCTATTGAGCTGAGAGCATCAGGGGCTGACAGCTTTCCAGGCTGAAGGCTTTATTTTTATTTATTTATTTATTTTTTGAGACAGGGTCTTGCTCTGTCACTCAGGCTGGAATGCAGTGGCATGATAGGCATGTGTCACCATGCCCAGTTAAGTTTTACGTTTTTTTTGTAGAGACAGGGTTTTGCCATGTTGCCCAGGCTGGTCTTGAACTCCTGGCCTCAAGTGATCTTCCCAACTTGGTCTCCCAGAGTGCTGGGATTACAGGTGTGAGCCTTCGTTCCCAGCCCATAAGTGTTATTTATTTTATTTTTAAGTTTTTTTATTTTTTGAGACGGAGTCTTGCTCTGTCACCTAGGCTGGAGCGCAGTGGCAGGATCTCAGCTCACTGCAACCTCCACCTCCCAGGATCAAGCGATTTTTCTGCCTCAGCCTCCCAAGAAGCTGGGATTATAGGTGCCCACCACTGCACTCAGCTAATTTTTGTAGTTTTAGTAGAGACGGGGTTTCGCCATATTGGCCAGGCTGGTTTCCAACTCATGACCTCAGGTGACCCGCCCACTTTGGCCTCCCAAAATGTTGGGATTACAGGCGTGAGCCACCGTGCCTGGCTCTTTATTTTATTTTTGAGAAAGAGTCTCACTCTGTTGCCCAGGCTGGAGTGCAATCGCATGATCTTGCTTTACTGCAACCTCCACCTCCCAGGTTCAAGCAATTCTTCCTACCTCAGCCTCCCAAGTAGCTAGGATTACAGGTGTGTACCACCACACCCAGCTAATTTTTTTGCATTTATTAGAGGCAGGGTTTCGCCATGTTGGCCAGGCTGGTCTTGAACTCCTGACCTCAGGTGATCTGCCCACCTTGGCCTCCCAAAGTGCTAGGATTAGAGGTAGGAGCCACCACGCCCAGCCCCATAAGCATTTTTTAAAGTATAGAATATATTCTATCAATGAATATAATTTACTTAGATCATCCTCCTACTTTTCTTGTTAGATATTTGGGTTGATTTTGTTTTTTTGGAGACAGTGTCTTGCTCTGTTGCCCAGGCTGGAGTGCAGTGGTGTGATCATGGCTTACTACAGCCTCAACCTCCTGGGCTCAAGTAACCCTTTCTCCTCAGCCTTCTCCCAAGTAGCCAGGACTACAGGCATGTGTCTCCATGCATGGCTAAGTTTTTCTTTCTTTTCTTTCTTTTTTTTTTTTTTAAGAGATAGTGTCTCTCTGTGTTGCTGGATTTGAACTCTTGGACTCAGATGAGCCTGCTTCTTCAGCCTCCCAACATGCTGATATAGACACGAGCCACAGCACCTAGGTTCTTGTTGTTTATTTTTGAGACAGTGTCCTACTCTATTGTGCAGGCTTTAGTGCAGTGGCACGATTTCAGCTCACTGTAGCCTTGACCTCCTGGATCCTCCCACCTCAGCCTCCCAGGTAGCTGGGACTACAGGAGCATGTCACCACCCCTGGCTAATTTTTGTTTTTTTTTGTAGAGATGAGGTTGAACTCCTAAGCTGAAGTGATCCACTTAGCTTGGCCTCCCAAAGTGCTAGTATTACAGGTGTGAGCCACTGCATCTGGCTATTATCTTAAAACATATTTGCAAACATGGAAATAGTGGGTTTAAAGATCAGATCTGCCAGGCACGGTGGCTCACGCCTATAATCCTAGCACTTTTGGAGGCTGAGGTGGGTGGATCACGAGGTCAGGAGTTTGAGACCAGCCTGACCAACATGGTGAAACCTGTCACTACTAAAAATACAAAAATTAGCTGGGCATGGTGGCACATGCCTAATCCCAGCTACTTGGGAGGCTGAGGCAGGAGAAGCACTTGAAACCAGGAGGCAGAGGTTGCAGTGAGCTGAGACTGCGCCACTGCATTCCAGCCTGGGCAAGAGCGAGACTCTGTCTCAAAAAATAAAAAATAAAAAAATAAAGATCAGATCCATTTTCTCTTTTTTCTTCCCAATAAGAAAGTTGGCCCTAAAATGCTGGATCATGAAGGAAAAGAAGTCCCAGGAAACCGAGGTTACAAGTACTTTGGAGCAGCAAAAGATTTACCTGGTGTTAGAGAGCTGTTTGAAAAAGAACGTAAGTAACTACGTTTTTGACAGTTTTAGCCATTTGTTGATAATAATCATAAGTAGATACACTGTATGCTAAGGTTTTTTTTTGGTTTTTTTTCTGTTTTTTTTTTTTTTTTTTT